GAAAATAGACCACAAAGTTGGCATTTTAATTAAAAAAAACTGTCGGAGTTTTTTTTCTCATTATGCACTGCGTGCTGCAGGATTTTTTTTATATGGTGCACACTGACCACACAGACCCATTCTCTCACAACTGGGCCTACCAGCTTTATCCTGCTTGATTTGAAGCCGCTAGAATTTATGAGTATATATACGTCAAACACGGTACCTCGTAAGACCTATATATACGGCCGCGACAGTCGAAGGGTTAAAGAGAATCTTCATAGGATTGACGTCCCTAGTTGTGAAGGTTCTCATCGTGAAAAATTGACTGTGAATAGTTTTACTTGCTTTGTGATTACGATATCAATGATATATGCTTTAACCCCTTGACTGTCAAAACCCCAAATCTTGAGGTGTCTCCTGGTGTCAAAAAATTTTCGGAAAAAAAAAAATTGTTACAAAGTGATAGAGAATCTTTTCCCAATGGTAATGACACCAAAAGAACGAAATTTGATGGAAAACTTATGGAATTACACTGTCGCAAAGTTAGCAACCTCTGCAATATTTAGGAATCGGGGATTTCGCCTACTTTGAGCCTTATTTTCGGCTAATTCCATTGTTCCAGTCGACCAAACTCATAGCTATTTCTTTAGAAGTCCATTTTTTCTATCAATTGAGTACAAGAAACTGCCCATTTACCGATTTCAACTACCCAATAACGTGGTCAGAAATTTTCAATTTGGCCAATTTCATGCAAATTAAAAAATATGCCAATTTTAAAATAGGGTCCAGAATGAACAGTGCAGACATTCCTGGCTCTAAAATAACATTTTCTTTGTTCATCAGTCACATCTCCAGGCCCCTCTGATATTTCTCTTGCTTTCTATTTTGAATTTTTATTCAAATAAAATATATAAGATTTACTGTTAAGCAGACTACAGCAATATTGTAATAATTGTATAAATAATGTCAACCCATTCGTGACTACATATTATAATGGCTAGTTGGACATTTATTGGACAACGACATCATTTGTTTACTTTTGAACATTGGCAAAAATCAAACAGTTTCCCTACTTGGAGCTCCATTCCAAGGTTCCTTTCATAGTAAAAACAATCAAAATCACCTCTACTTTATAATATGTTTTCCATTCTATCAAATAAGACCAAGAAAACGAGAATACAACCATAAATACTGTACGAAAATACACCACAAAGTCGGTGTTTTAATCCAAAGAAACGGTCAGTTTTTTTTCTCATTATGCACTGTGTGCTGCAGGATTTTTTTATATGGCGCACACTGACCACACAGACCCATTCTCTCACATGTGGGCCTACCAGCTTTCTCCTGCTTGATTTGAAGCTGCTAGAATTTTTGAGTATACATACATCAAACACAGTGGCTCGTGAGACGTATATATATGACCGAAACAGTCAAAGGTTTAAAACTGATAATATTAGATACATAATATGCTTAAAGCACTGAATAACCAAATAGTTTTAGTACTTAGTAAATAAACAAAAACAGACTTGTGAATTAATTACATGATGACAAACATGGTCAGGCACATTTTTCTTCATTCTTGCTTAAAGTGCTTCAGTAACAAGGTTATTAGCAACACAAAACTATCCTCATGAACACTGCGGACACAGATGCCTACAATTATTCCTGTGGGACACTAGGGGAGGTTATAGCCCCAATAGATGGAAGCACCAGATGAGCATGACCCATGGTCAGGCTCCATGAGTAGTGAAACTCTCGAAACTCTCAAAAGTATATCAAAGGTAAGACTGATGCTCTGTCCTAGGTAACCAAGGAGAGATGTAAGGAGGAGCTGTGTTCTGCAGGGGATTTATTAGATAACAATGGTAGTTTCTCATGACTGATTATCTCAGTAGTATCAGTTCCCAGTAGTATCAGTTCCCAGTAGTACCAGTTACCAGTAACCAGTTACCAGTAGTATGACTCACTACCAACCATATGCAGAATCACTGACTGTTATTCATGTTGCTGCTGACCATAGCATGTTTTGAACGGCGCTCACCCCTAGGACCCAATTCGTGAGTCAGTCTTAAGATAGAGAGCAGAGAGGCAGGGCGGGCCTGGTGCTTGCCATATATTCATCCAACATGAGTGTTATTACCCAATCCACATTATCAAACCCCCCACACATGACAATTTTTTGGTACTACTGGGAACTGATACTACTGAGAGATGGACTGAACACATCAACTCCAGGCTGAGGGACTGTCATATAACCATCCATCACTCTTCTCTGTTTTGGACCGAAGCCACTGGCAAGCGAAACGTTTTCTCAGTAGATTCTCAGATGTTGCACAAATCTCTCATTCTTCAATCTGTTTTTTTAAATCATTACATCATGTGACTGAACACTCAAATCTTTATAAGATGCAAGGAGGGTCGCATTTCTCACCTTCCACACGGTTCGTAACTTCACTGCAATGACACCAAATGTACGAAATTTGATGGAAAACTTACGGAATTACAAAGACGCATAGTTAGAAATCTGGGTGCAATTTATGCGTCGGTGATTTTGCCGACTTTAAGCCCTATTTTAAGTCGGTTCCAATGCTCTACTTGACCAAATTCTTAGCTGTTTCACTAGTATACCTTCCATTCTGATTGAGCACAAGAAAACCATTTAACTTTGAAAATCACCTTATGAAGTCCACAGAAGTCTGTAATTTGGCCAATTTTATACAAAAATAAAAGATACCAGTTTAAAAATTGTGCAAAAAAATCACTAAACATTTCTGACACTAAATCAACATTTCGTCTGTTTATTAATCATGTCTCCAGGTCTGTCCTATGCTGCCTCCCACTTTGAATTCATAATCACAAAAATAGAAGATACATTATATTTCCCAAGTAAGAAAATATAACCAGAAATGATTGGTCATGGTTTACTGCATCCCATTAATTGAGTCAGACCTATTGAAAACCTGTAAAACAGACCAGGGAATGTAAGGGGGGGCCTTACCTATCCTCAGGAAAATTGGCTACTTTGAGCTCAATTTCAATCTATTTTCAGTCTTAAAACCTGCCAAAACCATCTGTACTTCAGTAGTATCTCTTCCATTACATCAAATGATACTAAGAAACTGCCAGTAAAAGTATGAAAACCCTTCTTGAAAATACCTCAGTCACTATTTTAAACCAAACACATGGTTAGTTTTGCTTTTCCCCATCATGCACCGTGTGAGGTAGGATATATTTTTATACTGTGCACAATCACTGCCCACCTATTCTCTCATATCAGGGCCAACATTTACCACTCTTACATTATCTGAGTGAGCTGAGCTCATGACGTAGAACTACGTGAAGGACCCTGGCTTCATTGATGTAGTTTTATGTAACAGCCTCTGAAAGAGTTAACATGTGCTCAGTGGTTTCACATTTTATGTTTGTACTCTATAAAATCATGTTGCTTTTATGTAAATAACATGTATTAAGAAATTTGCTTAAACTAGCTTGATAGTTTTCTGCTGTTTTTGGAGGATGGGTTGCAGAATGTTATAAATACTGTAAGTAATCGCATCCCATGAGGTATGAAGAAAGGCTGAAAGCATTAGGCATGATCTCTGGTTTATAGGATAATAGGTGACTTGATTTTCATACAGAACATTACAAACATTTATATAAAAACAAGAGACAGATTTAAAAAATAAAAATATATGGAGAACAAGAGTAGCTATAAAATTGCTGAAGTGCTTAAAGGATACTAGTAGAAAGTTCTTCACAGACAGATTTACTGTCTTCAGCTGATGCGACTCTCATGAAGATTCTAGTGGCATTCACAAAGGTTGTTATGGTGACATTAATCATAGTACTGTAACATCCTTTGTCAATGGCACCAGAATCTCAATGAGAGTAGCATCTGCTGAAGACACTGCTAATATTCAAGCTGATATAAATCAAGTTTTCCAAGAAATAAAGACTAACGGAATACAGGACAAACTCACATCATTCAGTAGAAAAGTTGCATGTGCCAGACATGAGAGTAATGTCAGAGTATCTCACTTCAAGGTTCACAACAGTGTTGCCATTGCTGCCACAGGGAAAATGATAGGCCAGATAACTAGAACTGTATTCCTTAGACTGTAGGCGAGAAAGGTACATGATAATTTTCACCTGGACAGTCCTGGAGGGACTGATCTCAAATATAAACATTGAAGTCACCCCATATGCCATCAAGAGACTTGGCAGATAGTACAAAATGCCTCCAATTAAAAAACAACAAACAGGGACTCGATGACGACACCAAGAAATCTCATTGAAATCGATACCCCCTCCCTACGTACATAAGGGCATTTGCTAACAAACATCTGGCTGTCTCCAAGAGGGAACTGGACAAGTTCCTCAAATCATTGCCTGACCAGCTGGTCTGTGGTTCGTATGTTGGACTGTGTGCAGTGAGTAATAATAGCCTTGTTGATCAGGTCTTGATCCACCAGAAGGTTTAGTTGGGGACTGTGCCACAGGGGGGCGTTGACCCCAAGAAGCCTCATTCAGTTATGATTCAGGTGGAGTAAAGCTTTAACATATTATAGAATAGATTAAATCTGAAGTTGAGACACCACTGACCTGGCTCAGCTCCTGTACAATGGAGTAACTATTGATGGAGCAGTATATATCAAGGTAAGCAAGTACAGTGGACCCCCAGTTTACAATATTATTTCATTCCAGATGTATGTTCAGGTGCCATTACCGAACGAATTTGTTCCCATAAGGAATATTGTGAATTAGATTAGTCCATTTCAGACCCCAAACATACACGTACAAACGCGCTTACATAAACACACTTACATAATTGGTCGCATTGGGAGCTGATCGTAAACCGGGGTCCACTGTTTATCATTTCTTGATTGATCCCTCTTAATTATATGTATTTTATAGTTATATTGAGGCATTTTATTTCTTTTACAAATAATTTTTTACTATTTCCGTTTCTCAAATAATAACTTGTTGAAACATTATTTTTTTTTTTTTTTTTTTTTTAGGTTGGCTTGCAAAGTGTAATTTCTGCAGCATCTCTCTCCTCCATCTCAAGTGCTACAACTGAAACCAGTTCAGATTCCAGCTTGGATTCTGATTCTTCAGATTCTTCAACTTCTTCAGAGTCAAATCCATCAAAGATTCTTGTTGGTAAGACTAAAAAATAAAAAAATATAATTTCTTTCTACTGTATATTAATGGTCATAAGTCAGGGTTTAAATTATTAAGCCCCAGTGTTAAACCCTCTTGCCTTACAAGTGCCCAACACAAAAAAAAATTTGGAAAGATAATCAAAATGTTAAGAAAATTATTGGGGATACATCACTACGTTATTTTTCTTGAGTTGACGGGTTGCAGTGGTCCCAGGGTCATCTCATACTTAATTGATTGTTGAGACCTGTGCAGTTTGTGCCTACACAGTACTAATTCTCAGCTCTTGCTAGGAAAAAATGCTCAGTTTGAGCAAAGAAGGAAAGTGTGATAAATATCCCTATATAGGAAGGAATAATCATTCCAAATTAGGCCAGTTAGACCCCTCACCTACAACTGGCAGAGTAGGATGTCTGTATCCTACCCCGGATAGTGGCAACCAACTTTCCCCAAGAGACTCAACAAATGATGTTGGGCCATTGCTATATTGCAAAAGAATTTCTAGTAATATTGGATAAAGGGTAAGAAAAATTAAGTTTCACTGATACTTCAAGATTTGAGTCATGTTTCCATGTGATTTGATTACCAGTTTCAGATGGTTAGGCATATCATCAGAAGGATTATTTTTAAGGCAACTGATAGTGTTTTTGGAAAGAAGCTTTGCTTTCCTTTCACTCAAACAATTTTCGATAGAATTCAGGTCCGGTTATTTCCTGGCTACTGGATAACATTTCTTGGCTTTGTTTTGACATGTGGCACAGGGAAACATTCCTTAGCACATCTACTTAGGTACAGACCCACATATTTAATTACACATGCAGAAAAAGGAGCTGATGCATTATGCCTCAAATAATAATGTGCCTAATGGGCAAGAAAAGATGACAGTCATCCCTCCAAAAAGAGCATTAGAGGGAATTTATCACTGATGTTTAGGGCAGAGTGAGATGTCCTTACCCTATCAAGACTGGCAAAGTCATTTATTAATTTAACTGATGATGCATTGGGAGGGAGGGATGCATAAAAACATTATTGGTGTGGGCTGTACCTCACAAATGCATTTACTTATTTACCACGAACCTACAAGTATAGCAACCAAACTGAGGCATAATGTATATAGAGTAGATACAGTATTGACGTTATCTCCAGCTTCATCTTTTAATCCTGATTATACAAAAAGAGGATATGTTAGTATTAGATGCTCCACCACTGAGGCAATAAACTTGTGATTTACTTTATTGGAGGGTTGCATTTATAAATACTATAAAATTGAAGTAAATTACCAGTATGATAATATTACATCCCCATTGGTGGAGTCCTCTTCTCATGCAGGCACGACCATAACCTGTGACTCCCAGGATGGTGAACAATTTATATAAATATTATCTCCATTTGATGAGAAAGTTACATGTGCATTTTTAGGAATCCTTATTGACAAGTCATTCTGCCTGTGCTGCAAGCTTCATCAGTCAAATACAGAGATGAACCACACTACTGGAGACATCATCCTTGATGCAAGACGAAGTAGATGATATTGAGAGGTAGCTTCATGTAATCAAGCTACCAGCTTTGGTACAAGATTGAGTCCATTGACCAAAAGCAAAAGCATGTAACTAGAGGCCACAGAGACATTGATTATCTTTCACCAAGACTGGTGGATTGATTACATCAAAATACCTCTCCACATCATCTAGTTTCTTCCAGCAATGTTGATGTCTCCAGAGTGTGATTTATCTCTGTATTTAACTGATGAAGCCAGTATCACAGATGGAGTGTTTTGTCAATGAAGATTCCTGGTGTTACACATGTGTCTTGCTCATCAACTTATTAGTATTGTATACCATTTATAATACGATTATTATTTCCAGCTTCTTGCATTTTAATCCTGATAATGTAGAAGGAAGGAGGCTGAGGATATGAAACATATGCATGGTTTGACTGCTGATGCAGAAAACAACTGATCTACTCCCACTTATGGATACCTGTGACTCAGGTGGGAGATAACTGGTGTGTTCAAAAAAATAAATAAGCAGTATCACATTTCCTCAGAGGATATAAGAACACCTCATGTGATAACTGCTGATGCAGAGAAAACCTGATTAACTCCCATCTGTGAGGACTAAAACAATATATGCTCCTGACTTATACCTGGAGTTATGCAAGAATATAATTGTTGATTCTAAAGTGACATCACAGTGCAATTTTGTGTAAATGGGATTGAAAAGTGCATCCAAAATTTGACTAAAAGAAGTTAATATTATGGGCCAGAATTAAAAAAAAAGTAATGTTTAAAACTTGGGTAGATTTTCTCATTGCTTAATATATATAGAATACATGTAAAAGTTTATAAACTAAGGGACGAGGAAGTTAGAGTGAGGTACATGCAGCTAGTGAGAGTATTGAGTATTGGGATTGAAGAGGTGTGGGATAGTTTTAAAAATGCAGTCTTAGAATGTAGGGCAGAAGTTTTTGGATATAGGAGGGTGGGTGTGGGAGGAAAGAGGAGTGATTGGTGGAATGATGAGGTAAAGGGGTGATAAGGGGAAAAAATTTGCATATTTGGTGAGGGATTGTAAAAGGAGAACCAGTGATAAAGTTGGTGAGTTTCTTTATTACCAGTCTGCCAGACAAGCTTAACTCTACACATGTGTAAAATGAACATACAAAAATAATAAATGCATGTAATGAAAAAGTGAAAAAAAAAAAAAAACTATTGAAAGTGTCTTGATCATAAGTGCTGATGATCATAAGCCAGATGACTGTAAACCAGGAACCTACTGATGTATACAGTTCACTAGGCCCCACTTAAGACATTAATGTATTCCTGGAATTTTTTTCAAGTAGAATATGCTGAACTGAACATATTTTTCTCATAAATGCACCTGTTAAAATTGGAGATTTTTAATTAAGAAAATTTACCTAATATTTACCAATATTTACCAATACTGTTCCTTTTCGCTTGCAAATTTTAAATATTGTTTAATGAATGTGTATAGGTAGTAGGTTGGTAGACAGCAACCACCCAGGGAGGTACTACCGTCCTGCCAAGTGAGTGTAAAATGAAAGCCTTTAATTGTTTTACATAATGGTAGGATTGCTGGTGTCTTTTGTCTGTCTCATAAATATGCAAACTTACAGATACGTCTTGCTACTTCTACTTACACTTAGGTCACACTACACATGCATGTACATGTTTATTTATACACACTCATCTGAGTTTTCTTTGATTTTTATCTTAATAGTTCTTGGTCTTATTACTTTTCCTTTTATATCCATGGGGAAGTGGAATAAGAATCTTTCCTCCGTAAGCCATGCGTGTTGTAAAAGTCAACTAAAATGCCGGGAACAATGGGCTAGTAACCCCTTTTCCTGTAATAATTACTAAAAAGAATAAGAAGAAGAAAATTAGCAAAGTGGGAAGTCTGAATGTGCGTGGATGTTGTGCAAATGATAAGAAAGAGATAATTGTGGATAAATGAGAAGAAGCTGGATGTCCTGGCTTTAAGTGAAACAAAGCTGAAGGGGGTGGGAGAGTTTCAGTGGGGAGGAATAAATGGGATTAGGTCAGGGGTTTCAAATTAGAGTTACAGCTAAAGAAGGAGTAGCAATAATGTTAAAGGATAAGTTTTTTTTTTTTTTTATTATCACACCGGCCGATTCCCACCAAGGCAGGGTGGCCCGAAAAAGAAAAACTTTCACCATCATTCACTCCATCACTGTCTTGCCAGAGGGTGTTTACCTACAGTTTAAACTGCAACATTACACCCCTCCTTCAGAGTGCGGCACGTACTTCCATCTCCAACTCAAATCCGGGCCCGCCGTTTCCCTGAACCCCAAAAGTTACTTTGCTCACACTCCAACACACGCAATAAAAAAAACCATTTGGGTCTCCTTTCACCCCTATCAAACACGCTCACGCATGCCTGCGGGAAATCCAAGCCCCTCGCACACAAAACCTCCTTTACCCCCTCCCTCCAACCCTTCCTAGGCCGACCCCTACCCCGCCTTCCTTCCACTACAGACTGATACACTCTTGAAGTCATTCTGTTTCGCTCCATTCTCTCTACATGTCCGAACCACCTCAACAACCCTTCCTCAGCCCTCTGGACAACAGTTTTGGTAATCCCGCACCTCCTCCTAACTTCCAAACTACGAATTCTCTGCATTATATTCACACCACACATTGCCCTCAGACATGACATCTCCACTGCCTCCAGCCTTCTCCTCGCTGCAACATTCATCACCCAGGGACTATAAATGTATTAATTCAAGGATTATGTGGAGTAAAATATAGGTTGGATGTGAAAAGTGGGTTATAGTAAGCATATATGCATCTGGAGAAGAGAGAAGTGTAGAGGAGAGAGAGATTTTGGGAAATGTTGAGTGAATGTGTGGGGAGTTTTGAATCAAGTGTGAGAGTAATGGTGGTTGGGGATTTCAATGCTAAAGTGGGCAAAAATGTTGTGGAGGGAGTAGTAGGTAAATTTGGGGTGCCAGGGGTAAATGAAAATGGGGAGCCTTTAATTGAGCTATGTGTAGAAAGAGGTTTGGTAATAAGTAATACCTATTTTATGAAGACGAGGATAAATAAATATACAAGGTATGATATAGCAAGTAATAAAAGTAGTTTGTTAGATTATGTATTGGTGGATAAAAGGTTGATGGGTAGGCTCCAAGATGTACACATTTATAGAGGGGCAACTGATATATCGGATCATTATTTAGTTGTAGCTACAATTAGAGAAGAGATAGATGGGAAAAGAGGAAAATGGCAACAACAAGAGGGAGGTGAAAATGTATAAACTAAGGAAGTAGGAAGTTCGGGTGAGATATAAGCAACTATTGGCAGAAAGGTGGGCTGGTGCAAGTATGAGTAGTGGGGGATTGAAGAGAGTTGGAATAGTTTTAAAAATGCAGTATTAGAATGTGGGGCAGAAGTTTGTGGTTATAGGAGGGTGGGTTCAGGAGGAAAGAGGAGTGATTGGTGGAATGATGAAGTAAAG